TTTGCCCGGGACCTCGGGCCCGTGCACGTGCGTGAGTGCGCGTGTGGCAGGTTGTCTGACGCAACAGAAGGCCGGGATGTCGCGCGCCGCTGGAGGGTGACGGGTGAGCAGAAGGCCCGGGAGAGGTTAAGACGTTAACCTCAGGGCGTGGCGGGACGGGTGAAGGGTCGGGAGGGACACAGGGTCGGGGATAGGTAGAGGGACGGGGACGGGTGGAGGGTCCTAGACGCGTAGAGGGACGGGGACGGGTGGAGGGTCCTAGACGCGTAGAGGGACGGGGACGGCTGGAGGGTCCTAGACGGGTAGAGGGACGGGGACGGGTAGATGGTTATGGTTAGGCATAGGGTTAGGATGGGCAGGGGTCTGGTACGGGCAGAGAAACGGTGAAGAGATGTGAGTTGATATTTAGCAGTATAAAATTTAGTTGGATAGTTATAGGATTTGTAAATAGGTTACTAACTTCTCGTTTTCGTAGTTGCCAGCTTGTATTTTTTCAAATCAAGTGTGAACAGTTCGATCAAATCTCTAACAAAAATAGAAACGTTAGTTCCGGTCTTGTTATTTAAAACCCTCCTCCACCATATTCAAAAATTAAGAACGAAGAAGAAGAAGATTTAAAACCCTAAACAATGATTATGACAGACGTCGGTAGCTAGCTAATAGAAAAATATAGCCAACTTTGTGTTGTGATTATTTTTAAATAAGTGAACAATTTGTTATTATTGATTCAAATATGAAATATGTTGTCCCAAACTTAGATGTTATATATATATATATATATATATATATATATATATATATATATATATATATATATATACTTATACACACACACACATATATATATATATATATATATATATATATATATATATATATATATATATATATATATATATATATATATATATATATATCATGTTTTTGTTATTAATGTGAATCACTTTCGCAACAATTAATTTGGTTCGAAAATGTATATCCTTCCCTGGCCAACGAAATTTCGAATCGAGAGAGAACGGAACTTACAAGCCCTGTAGAAAGCATACTGAGTTTTTTTTTAATTTTTTTCTGGTAAAAAAAATATAGTCACGCAAGTGCGTGTTAGTGCGCGAGATTTTAAGGTAAAAAAAACATTGACGACTATTCAAAAAATTGGTCACTACTCTAGTCTTAACACACGCAAATACAGGTTTATTTTAACGGTTTGAATGTAAATGTTGATAGACATGGGAGGGAATAATTGCGGTCTGATTGTAATTGTACATTTAAATAAGTTTGTTTAAATTTTAAAAGATTGTGTTTGATTATATGTGTGTGTGTTAATCGAAGCTAGATGTTACACAAGGTGGTTTAAACATAAACAATATGTGAGTCTGCGTTTAATGTATCTGTGTGGGGGGGGGGGGTGGTTTTGGAGTGTGTGTGAGTGGGTGAGAGTGTATCTGTGTTCGAGTGTGTTTGATGGTGTATATACAAATGTGTGAGTGCGTAGGTATGTGAGTGAGTGTGTCTTTATGTGTGAGTGAGGGTGTCTGTGTGTGTGAGTGTGTCTGTGTGTGTGAGTGAGTGTGTCTGTATGTGTGAGTGTGTCTGTATGTGTGTGTGTGAGTGTGTGTGAGAGTGAGTAAAACAACACCACTGTAACAACGACTGGGTCCAACAAGAGGATCCCCAATGATGATCCCCCCCTCATGCATGTTTTAGCTGCCCCTACCGTAGGGCTCACGTGTTCGGGCCTCCCCTGGGGCGGGCGTAACTCGAGCGGCCATGAATTATGAACAGTTGCGTTGGTCGCCTGAAGGACGGGCGCACTGAAGCGGATCGGCCTGACTGGTGTCTGACTGGGCGTAGTGCACAGACAGTGCTCAACAGACAGTACTCAACAGACAGTACTCAACAGACAGTACTCAACAGACAGTACTCAACAGACAGTAGTCAACAGACAGTACTCAACAGACAGTACTCAACAGACAGTACTCAACAGACAGTAGTCAACAGACAGTACTCAACAGACAGTACTCAACAGACAGTACTCAACAGACAGTACTCAACAGACAGTACTCATCAGACAGTAGTCAACAGACAGTACTCAACAGACAGTATTCAACAGACAGTACTCAACAGACAGTAGTCAACAGACAGTACTCAACAGACAGTACTCAACAGACAGTACTCAACAGACAGTACTCAACAGACAGTAGGCAACAGACAGTACTCAACAGACAGTACTCAACAGACAGTACTCAACAGACAGTACTCAACAGACAGTACTCAACAGACAGTACTCAACAGACAGTAGACTTTACTTAACAGACATTACTCATCAGACAGTACTCAACAGACAGTACTCAACAGACAGTACTCAACAGACAGTACTCCACAGACAGTAGTCAACAGACAGTAGTCAACAGACAGTACTTAACAGACAGTACTCAACAGACAGTAGTCAACAGACAGTACTCAACAGACAGTACTCCAGAGACAGTAGACTATAGTCAACAACCAGCAGACTTTACTCAACAGACAGTAGATTTTGTCCAATAAATAGTACTTAATATACAGCAGACAGTACTTTATATGTATCAGATAGCACACAACAAAAAGCAGACTTTACCTAACACTCTAAAGTCTGCACTCAACACACAACAGACATCAGATGTTCTATATTGTATCTGTGTTGTCAACTCCACATTTCGGTTAGCCGTACACCTATAGCATTATCGTCGTGTGGCTTGCCTTGCAGTTTGGTACAATTTATTTCACTTTTTTTTGTATATTAAATTTAGCCGCTCAGAAAAACCGGAAATAGCTGATACGTGTTTTTTTTAATATTTAAAGGGCAGTAACCGAGATTAATCTTAAAAATGATTGTCTCCCTTGCAGATTGCTTCAAAAATTACTTTTCTTTCATGAAAAAGTAATGTGTAGCCAGGGGGGGGGGGGGGGGGGGGGGGGGAAACCTGCATGTGCTAAATATTATTAAAATGTGTGGTCGTACAGTTAAGTGTGTGTGTGGTGTATAACGAAGCTTGTGGCGTAACCACAAAACGATTCAAATCAGACACGTTTCAAAAACACATTTTCGTAAATGAATTTTAATAATCAAGACAGCGTTCCCCCTCATTAAGCCGCGTTTGTGCGATGCGGTTAATTACCTTCTTCCTCTGCAGGCGCCAATCCGCCCCTCCCAATCCTGCTCACCCACGAGGTCCACATGTGCTCACTGCCCCGCGCCCCACCCGTCCCGGGCCCAAATTGACAAGGCTCCAGCAGGCAACAGACCCCAATCCAATTTGCCATCTTGCGCTCCAAGCGTTAAATATTCGCGGCAGGGCCGGCGCCGCGCCCCTTTTTTAATCCCCGTTAATCCAATTGCTAGACAAAAACTTGACGACCTAACTCGGTTATCTCCGCCTGTCTCACGCGTACCGTGGCGGCCATCTTGGAACGCTGTGACCTGTTCCTTGACCCTTCGGTGGAGACCTTCTGAATCTCCGGATAAAAAGAGCGGAGCATTTCCGATTGAAAAGCTCATAACGCGATTTCAAAATTCCAAGTATTAAACCGAACAATACACATTGGTATGGTTTTTTTTTTATTCTTTAAAGATAAAAAATGTAAGTTCTCTATAATCAAAAACAAATTTTGAAATAAAAAGTAACAATCACCATGAAGTTTTGTCAGAAACGATAAAAATATACGAATAGCAGAAAAAAAAATATATTTGTGAAGGATATGAGTATAAGCAAAAGACAAATATGTTCCTAGTGCTGTTTCAAATGTATGTTGTCTCCGTACTAAATCTGAACCTCCAAGAATGACGTCAATAAATTCAAGTTTGCTGTGTTCAGATTGTTATTGATGATCTTGGAAATGCTAAAATGTATTTCGATAGCTAGTTTTTGTTTTGTAAAAATAAAATTAACATGAAAACTTAGGTAATTTTTGATTCAACGACATACTTTCGAGTATTCTTAGAGTGAAAGATGTTGTTTGGTGTATTTACAACTGAAATCCTTTAAAGATATATTTCTAAATTTTCTTTTTAATTTAGCAAACATGCGAACAAATAAAAAATATTGATTTTCCGCCAATTTTAAAGAACTTTATTAAAACTAAAACCCGAACAACGCCGGCTACTTTAGAAAGTTGTGACTGTCGTTGACTTCTATTCTTGTCATCGCTTGTCTCCCCTGGCCGTGTTGACATCCGACCCCAATTTCCTTGAGTCAATTAGTTGGTCCAGCCAAGTAACTCAAGCTGAAGGGCCGCACCGTCAAGTGTTTCTTCTAGTACCTTCTACTGACGGCCTGCCACCCCCCCCCCGTCCGTGGGGGGGGGGGGGGGGGTGGCACCCACGGGCGGGTCAGACCTGCGACTCGGGTCACCCCAACACCCCCACACAACCCCCACACCCGCACCGTGTTTCTTCTAGAACCTTCTACTGGCGGCCTGCTGTCACCCCCCCCCCCGTACTCCCACAGTAGGGTTAGACCTGCGACTCTGGTCACCCCCCCAGACCTCCCAATATATATATATATATATATATATATATATATATATATATATATATATATATATATGAATATATATATATATATATATATATATATATATATATATATATTCATATATATATATATATATATATATATATATATATATATATATATATAAATACATACATACGTATATATATATATATATATATATATATGAATATATATATATATATATATATATATATATATATATATATATATATATATTCACATAGATATTATATATATTTATATATATATATATATATATATATACATATATATATATATTTATATATATATATATATATATATATATACATATATATATATATATATATATATATATATATATATATATATATATATATATATATATACGTATGTATTTATTTATGTATTGATTTATTTATATATTTGCAGCTGTAACCTATCTTGCATGTTTTCCTCCATCCCCAGCCGCCATACCCAAATGTTCTGGCTGCGGTGACCACATCTATGACAGGTTTATCCTGAAGGTGCTCGACAGATCCTGGCACTCCAAGTGTCTCAAGTGTTCAGATTGTATGGCCCAGCTCAGTGATAAATGTTTCTCTAAGGGGGAGAAGGTCTACTGCAAGGATGACTTCTTTAAGTAAGTGTTGCATTAGTGAGCCGTTGTTGTTGATGTTGTTGTCGTTACTGTCGCTGTTGTTGTTGTTGTCGTTGCTGTCGTTGTTGTTGATGATTTTAGATAGGGGGGGGAGGTCTACTGCAGGGATGACTTCTTTAAGTAAGTTCTGCAGTAGTGGGCCGTCGTTGTTGTTGATTTTGTTGTTGCTGTCGTTGTTGATGATTTTAGATGGGTGCGGGGAAGTCTACTGCAAGGATGACTTCTTTAAGTAAGTGCTGCAGTAGTGAGTCGTCGTTGTAGTGGTGGTGGTTGTGGTAGTTGTTGTTGTCGTTAGAATGGTGGGGATGAAGGTCTACTGCAAGGACGACTACTGTAGTGATGTGTCAGGTTATTGTGGTTAAGGTTGTTTTCGGTGCAGTTTTTTTTTTGTTACTGTTGCTGTTAATTGGGAAATTGTACCTCAATGACTTTTTTTTAATCGAGGGCAGATTAGTCAGTCTGTTTGTTGTAATGATTGTGGTTGAAGTTGCTGCTTGTGCTATTGTTCTTATAGTGATGGGGGGTTGATTTTGTTGCTGATGCAAGAAGGGAAATGTACCGAAAAGAGAATTCTTTAAGTGAGCGCAATCTGTTCATTGATGTTGATGTAGATGAGTTATAACGTCCGTTCATGACGTCACACACCTAGTAGGGGACGGTGGTCGGCTTTTCAAACTATGGGGGGAAGGGGGGGGGGGTACAAGGTGATGTAGAATCGAAGTGTGTGGGAATTTTATCTTACGCCATCTCTAGATCTAAGATTTCTAACGAGTACAAACCTTATACATTTTTTAAATCGTTATTTGAAATAAAGAACTGATAAGCCAGATGGGGTTTTATAATATGATGAATGCACAGTACCGAACTCAGTAACCAATTTTTAAAAAAATCAATCACTTTAATGATGAGAGTCTGTATCAGCCTCACTCGCCCCCTAAACTGGCAGTCCCCTGTGGTACCCTCCGTGGGGTTCCTCTTTCTCCACCCGCACCACACCCATCGCGTTTTCGGGAAAACCCTCACGTGCGCCGACTCGCCTTAGCCGCCTCGTGTTTGTGTCGTCACGTAATCCAAATATGGAAGTTCTCGGAGAATCTCGGGCATGTCCGCGGCAGCCATGTTGAACAAACAGTGGTGACCATCTGCCCGTGATCTCTGCCCAGGATGGTCCATTCAGAGAGTCCCAGAGATAAAAACCTCATGCCCGCTTGAGGTCATCCACACGCTAAAAATAGATATCACGTGATTTTGTTTTTCTGTGTCTTTTTCAATACAACAAAAAATTCTATTTACTAGTAGAATTGTTGCAATATTTTCAATATTTTCCCGAGAAAATGTCCATATTTTTCTTACCATCTATACCTCCCCTCTACCCATAATTTTATCATCATCTACACCCTCACTCTACCCATAATTTTATCATCATCTACACCCTCGCTCTACCCATAATTTTATCATCATCTACACCCTCGCTCTACCCATAATTTTATCATCATCTACACCCTCGCTCTACCCATAATTTTATCATCATCTACACCCTCGCTCTACCCATAATTTTATCATCATCTACACCCTCACTCTACCCATAATTTTATCATCATCTACACCCTCGCTCTACCCATAATTTTATCATCATCTACACCCTCACTCTACCCATAATTTTATCATCATCTACACCCTCACTCTACCCATAATTTTGTCATCATCTACACCCTCGCTCTACCCATAATTTTATCATCATCTACACCCTCGCTCTACCCATAATTTTATCATCATCTACACCCTCACTCTACCCATAATTTTATCACCATCTATACCCTCGCTCTACCCATAATTTTATCATCATCTATACCATCACTCTACCCATAATTTTGTCACTATTTATACCATCCCTCTCTATCTCTACCACCCCCCACCCATGCACCAACCATCTCACCCCACCTCCTGCTCCCCGCCCGCCCCTCAGCCCAGGTCTCTCCATTGAATAATAGATGTCCCGCTCAGCTGGGCCGGGCAGGGCGCTCACCAGATGACACCCCACCCATGAATTTTTAACCACCCCCCCCCATGTTAGGGCTTCATTTTCTAGGCACATTTACGGTATGGTGGGGGGGGGGGGGTATTCTAGGCACATCTATGGTATAGTGGGGGGGGGGGTATTCTAGGCACATCTATGGTATAGTGGGGGGTATTCTAGGCACATCTATGGTATAGTGGGGTGGAGGGTATTCTAGGCACATCTATGGTATAGTGGGGGGGGGGTATTCTAGGCACATCTATGGTATAGTGGGGTGGAGGGTATTCTAGGCACATCTATGGTATAGTGGGGGGTATTCTAGGCACATCTATGGTATAGTGGGGGGTATTCTAGGCACATCTATGGTATAGTGGGGGGTATTCTAGGCACATCTATGGTATAGTGGGGTGGAGGGTGGCCTATTCTAGGCACATCTATGGTATAGTGGGGTGGAGGGTATTCTAGGCACATCTATGGTATAGTGGGGGGGGGTATTCTAGGCACATCTATGGTATAGTGGGGGGGGTATTCTAGGCACATCTATGGCATAGTGGGGGGGGTGTATTCTAGGCACATCTATGGTATAGTGGAGGGTATTCTAGGCACATCTATGGTATAGTGGGGGGGGGGTATTCTAGGCACATCTATGGTATAGTGGGTGGAGGGTATTCTAGGCACATCTATGGTATAGTGGGGGGGGGGTATTCTAGACACATTTATGGTATAGTGGGGGGGGGTATTCTAGGCACATCTACGGTATAGTGGGGGGGGGGGGGTAGGTATTACAAAACACAAACTGTTTTCTAACAATGTAAGAGTGGGCGAGTTATTTCTCCACATCTATTGTATAGGGGCTGGGGTATTTCACAGCATGTACTGTATAAGGGGGATGGCATTTCATCGTATCTACTATATTGGGGAGTGGAGTGTATTTATCAGCTGTATATAGATGGAAGGTGGAGATGGTGACATTTGACGATTGCGTAACTCCATGTAACAAGAATGCACTAGAAGATTGAAAAGGGTGAAAATATTTTATCAGATAATAAAAATCACGAAGTTATATTTGAAAACGTTCGAGCTTTTATAAATGTTGAGGTGATGAAGTACGGTGCAGTAGCGACATTTGTGGATTGTATTTACAATGTTAATGATGTTGGGGAGAAGGGGGGGCTTCCGTGACATAGATAGATGTGACAAAGATATCAACCAATAGGATTCTTCGACAAGCCTCGACCTCGGTCCTAAACAGAATGGAGTAAAATAATAAAGTATAAAGTTAGTAGTTCAAGTGGCGTGGTAGCTAGCAGTGTTAAATGTTTAAGCCGTTTTACAATGGAGCCATCTGATTTGAAAAGTTAGAAGAAAATATTTTAATTAAGTTTTTTTTTAATTAAGCAGTTTTAAAAAATCAAGTTAAAAATGTTAAAACGGGTAAAAGAAACTGCGTGGAGAACAAAAACCCTGATTACGCCACACGAGCTAGATATATAATCATATGTGTCAATTCAGATAAGTTTTTTGACTACGTCATAAATATTGAGTAAAATTATCAATAGATCGAACAGCTAATATTTTGAAATACACAATGGTCTTGCAAAGGCCGCCCCTCGTACCGTCTATTGTGGTGATTGTTTCATCGGATTGATATTCTGCACATCAATGTTTTTTCTCATCTTTATTGGGGTGTAGTGGTGTTGGCAGCGTATCAGTATATATATATATATATATATATATATATATATATATATATATATATATATATATATATATATATATGTGTGTGTGTGTGTGTGTGTGTATATATATATATGTGTGTATATATATATATATGTATATACATAAATACATATATATCGTTTCGGTATGTCCTGTCAGCACTCCTAACAGAATGTTCCGACGGCCCAATTGATAAAACAATACTGAAGCAATTTTTTAGAGTGCTGGGTTGCGTGTTATGAGGACGCGACCCGTTGTATTTTTTAAACTGAAACGACAGACCTACCCCAGGCTCTTCCAGTTATGGCCATCCCTCCCGCTGGGGGTTTCATCGTGGCCTTAATTAATCATGACCAACCAGATCCTTGATTAAAGAGATGCGAGGTAATTCTTTTTTTTTTAATGTCACAAATAAAAAGCGATCGCGCGCGACTCATCCGATGGTGCAGGTAAATCTTTCTTAGATTGCAGCACCACTTTCATAATTCAGTACCCCCGGCGCGGGTTTCGATAAAAAACAGAAGTTGGATATCTCTAAGCTTTGTTCCGTTTGCGTGAAAAATTTATTTCGAGTTTTTTATGTATCGCCGAGTGCCGGCCCAGCGTGCATTGTTGAAGAGCCGCGTGATTTTTAAAAGTGAGTGATTTGCTGGAGTACAGTCGCAGCAGTTAGAAATCGCATGTATAATAAATGGTGTTTATTTTTAATTACTTTAGCGGGTACCCGTCTCGGATCACGTGTTTTGGAATCGGTGGGGTCGGGTATCTGGTGGGGTGGGGTATCTGGGGTGGGGTAGGGTATCGGTTGGGGTGGGGTAGGGTATCAGGTGGGGTGGGGTAGGATATCCAAGGATTCGATGCGTTAGGCAGAGGGTTATTTTTTAATTAATTTTTTAAAGTTTTAATGCGGAGGTAAACACACACTTTGATAGTTTTGTGAAGTGCTGTCGTGTTTTTGTTGCGAATGTTAAATGATGGATACAAGATAATGGGGGTGATGTGGGGGGGGGGGGGGGGGCGGGGGAGGGAGATCATCATTACACTCAATGTGTTACGATGGAATAAGTGACATCTGTGAAACAGATTCTCAAAATGTTCCTATACTCGGCCCCCGTTACCCTAGCAAATATTTTGGCGACCGCTGGCGTTATAAAAAAAAAGTATTATGGATAAATATCTTGAACTTTTTTTTAATAACTTTATATTTTAATTATTTTCATTAAAATTATTAATTATAGATTAATAC